CATACATACATACATACATACATAAATAGATACATTCATAGATACGTAAATAGATACATTCATGGATACATATATAGATACATAAATAGATATATTCATAGATACATACATACATACATAAATAGATACATTCGTTGACATATACACAGATACATAAATAGATACATTCATATACAGATACATACATACATAAATAGATACATTCATAGACACATTAATAGATACATTCATAGATACATTAATAGATACATAAATAGATACATTCATAGACACATTCATAGATACATTCATTAACACATACATAGATACATAAATAGATACATTCATAGATACATACATAGATACATAAATAGATACATTCATAGACACATACATAGATACATAGATATATCATGCATAGATACATAAATAGATACATTCATAGATACATAAATAGATACACAAATAGATACATTCATACACATAAATACATACATTCATAGACGCATACATAGATACATTCATAGACACATCAATAGATACATAATTAGATACATGCATAGATACATAAATAGATACATTCATAGATACATAAATAGATACATTCATAGACACATACAGAGGATACATAAATAGATACATTCATAGATACTTAAATAGATACAGTCATAGATACATACAGAGGATACATAAATAGATACATAAATAGATACATAAATAGACACATACAGAGGATACATAAATAGATACATAAATAGATACATAAATAGATACATACATAGATACATAAATAGATCCATTCATAGATACGTACATAGATACATTCATAGATACATACATAGATACATAAATAGATACATTCATAGATACATACATAGATACATAAATAGATACATAAATATATATACATAGAAACATATATAGCTGCATACAAAGATTTATACATGGATAGATCCATAGATAGATGCATCCATAGTCACATCCGTGGATAAATGCACAGATACTGAATACATTAGCAGATACATCCATAGATAGATACGCAGATGCATACTTAATGTTATCGCATTTAGTTTACATGGTGAATCAGAAGTTCATTTTATTTTGCATGATGGAATACTGGGTCAGCCCCTCTTTTTTTGCACTACGTCTGAGCCAAACCGCCAAACCGCACAGTTCGTATGCTTGTGTGCTAGAGTATACCACACCTCTAAAACCCCTAAACCCTGGGACATACGACATATCCCGATCACACGACACATTCTGATTCTCTTAGATCAGCACGACCAAACACAAGGTGCTGCATGAGACAGGGTGTTGCATATACCAATAGCCACCCCACCCCACCCCACTCCCCGCCGGCAGTGTGTGGTGAAATAGGTTATCTGTGCTATAAGACGCTGCTGCAACCACACGGCACCAGAGGATGTGTAAGGGCAAACATACCTGTGCAGAGTGCCTGTGGTGTGCATCTGAGCATGTGTGCGAGTGTGCGTAGTTTGGTATACATATGGGCTACAACACACACGGCCTGTGGGAGCGTACAGGTATCACTACACCAGCGTAGCGCGGGGCGGTGTTTGTTGCTGCTGAACTCTGTATTGACTACTACCTACCTACCTACCCAAAGGACCTGCGTGGCCGAAGATACAATTGAACACCATGAGCACGTCAACCGAAACACCCGCAGACTTACTTGTCCTGCTGCCGAGTGCGACGCATAGGCTGTACCAGGCGGTATGCCATGTTTGTGCCCGGGAGTGCGTGTACTCCGTACCAACCAAGTGCTTTCTCTGGACTGGTTATGTTATGCGATTGCCAAAGACTGTGATGTGCATGGATGTGCTTGGATAGGTCGACACCGTACCAGTGTTCGCGATCTGTGTCATAGATATTTGTATTTAAAACACTGAATGCCTTTGCCCCTGGATATGTAAATGTACCGGTCCTTGTATTTGAGGTCTGACCAGACGTTGTGCATCTGTGTCATAGATATTTGTATTTAAAACGCTGAATACCTTTGCCCCTGGATATATAAATGTACCGGTCCTTGTATTTGAGGTCTGGCC